AATATAAATATTAGTATATTACATTAATTTCACAATTGTTTTGTAGCCTATATAGTGAATATTTTATTTTAAATATTAGAAATAATAAATACTACTTTACGAGAGTGTTGATTTAAATTTCAGTTAAGCCATAATTTTGATGATTTACAAGCCACTCTTTTACATATGCATCCTAATCAATTAATGGACGTCATCACTGAGTTTATATATTTAAAACTATGTGAGGGATAATTATATGTACCATTGCAATAAATCATAATTTGAAAAACTATGGCGGCTGTGTTTACGCTCACTTGTCATCCTAGTTTAGACACTCTGTAAAGAGACACTTTAGAAATTTTAAACAGTTCCTGCTCTAATAGATATAAAAGGACTTTTTCCAAGAAGAGTAATTTAATAACTTACATAACAATAACTCTCGCTCTCTCCCGCTAGTTCAAGTGTGTCAAACATAATGGCCCTGGAAGACAATAAGAAAACTACAGTCATGGATATTATCACAAGTTATTTAATATCAGCACAGTTATCTAATAATGTGTAAGGGAATAGATCTTTGTTATGGAGATTGATGGAGTTTCAGTAACAAGTTTTTGCAGGATAACTGTCGATCCACAGTCTGAGGAAAACATCAATATGCAGTATCAAATATGTCATAATAATATCATAATGATAACAACCATTACTACATATAATAAAATTACTACATTATAATAAAAATGTTTAAAATAAATAACTAAGCAACAATTAAACTCATATATATATATATATATATATATATATATATATATATATATATATATATATATATATATAGGTAAATAAATAAGTAACTCTAACTGTGCAGTACTTTAGAGAAAAAGCCGAAAGCAACTTCATAGGAACTAATCATTTTTTCAATTTATATTTTACATTGGAATAATATAGTATATCTATAAGATCCGGGCCACACTGGTGGAGTGGGTAGGGCTGTTGCCTCACAGTAAGAAGCTTGCTGGTTCAAGTCTTGGCTGGGTCAGAGTTTGCCTGTTCTCCCCATGTTCGTGTGGGTTCGCTCCGGGTGTATGCGTGTGAATGAGTGTGTGTGTATGGATGTTTCCCAGTGTTGGGTTGCAGCTGGAAGAGCATCCACTGTGTAAAACATATACTGGATAAGTTGGCGGTTCATTCCGCTGTGGCGACCCCTAATGAGTAAAGGGACTAAACCGAAAGAAAATGAATGAATGAATCTATGGGATCAAGTTACATTTCCATAAACTGTGTATATATGTGTGTATATAGAGTTCATTCATTCATTCATTCATTTGCTTTTCAGCTTAGTCCATTTATTAATCCAGGGTCACCACAGCGGAATGAACCGCCAACTTATCCAGCATATGTTTTACGTAGCGGATGCTCTTCCTGCCGCACCATGTCTCTGGGAAATATATAGAGTTCAAGTCAAATATATTTTTTATTAATTTTTTTTATATTTCCCAATTGTTATTGGGTAATGCTAAATAATAAATAGTTAAACTATAGCTGTAATAACTCATTTATTTAATAACCAAATCATTTTGTCTTTACCATGATGACAGTACATAATATTGTACTAGTTATAGATAAGTTACTATAGTATTCAGCTTAAAGTCCAAATTAAAGACTTAATTAGGTTAGTTAGGCAAGTTAGTTTTAGGCAAATCATTGAAGTTTGTTTTGTAGTCAGTCGAATATATATATATATATATATATATATATATATATATATATATATATATATATATATATATATATATATTTTTTTTTTTTTTTTTTATTGAGGGAGCTAATTATATTGACATTAAAATTAGTTAGAAATTTTTAAATACTGCTTTTATTGTAGACCAAACTAAAATCAATTAGACTTTGTCCAGAAGAAATAAATATAGGAAATACTGTGAAAACTAATAACATTGTTGGGGGGCTAATAAGTTTACCTTCACAAAGTTTACCTTCAATTATAGAACTGCTTTATGTCATCTGAAAGCTTGAAAATGCCTGTGCTAACCTAGACACATGAGGATCTTAAACGCGTTGATCCCTCACAGACAGAGCAGTTTTCACTAAATAAGGCAGCTTATCTCTTTTCCTGTCATTTCTTTTTGATTCCTCAGAGTGTCGCACACAGAGACAGGCCGAACATTCCTTGCCCTAATATGGCTAACTCCCTGCTGTGGGCGGGCTCTGTTTGGGCAAACGCAGCACTCTGATTGGCAGAGAGTAAAATGGGCGGGGCTTCTCCCTCAAGTTGATGCTCTGGAGAAACTTTTGTGTGCCGTAAGTGTAACTGTCTCACTGTCTACAGCAGAAACACACTAACGGGGACAGAAATACACACCAGCTAAGCAAAGGTGAGTTTATTATACTCTATTGTGGGTTTGTGTGCTAATAGGCTAGTTTAAAGAGGGGTTTGGACTGTGAGGAAAGATCTGGATGGAGCCAGTGACGTATGTTATGGAGTTATGGAGCTAAAACTGGACTTGGTTTAGTGTACAGTTATTAATACAGCGGGTTTTGATGCAGCTGTCCTGCTAAATGATAGCCCATAGCTCATTTAAAGTTGTATTATTCAAGGAAACTATTATGTTTCAAATGTTTTTGATTATATATGAGCACATCTGGAAAACAATATTGGAGTTTTTTTGTTGGGCTGAGGTCAAAAGTCAAAGTGTGACGTAATCATTGGCTCAATGATAGTAAAGTCACTTCATCAACAAAAAATAAATAAATTAAGTAGTAAATATAGGAACAGGAAAGAAATAATAATATTTCATGAACAAATTTCTTATTTATTTTTGTGTGTAGCCTATGTTGGTGATTTTCTTTTAGGTAGAGAGACACAAAAAAGACATTCACTGTCAAACAAGCGCAAGATTTAGTGAAGCGAAATCCCTGGAGAGTAATGAGGAATGCTGCAGATAACCGGATCTGTGCGTTTGCCAAATATCAGAGGCCACAAACAAGCATGAGGAGAATAATGTGGGAGGTTTTGGAAAAACACTATAATCATTTGACGTAAATACTATAGTGTTTTGGACCAAGGACTTGAATCAATCTGTTGTGGTGATGCTACAGTTGCTCTATGGTAATTAAACAACTATAGCAGTATAACAAACGAGTATAGGCCCACACAGAATCTGCGCACACAGGAATGGGCAGATTTTAGCCCATCATTACGTATATTTATTGTGTATATATATTAATAATATTATTAACTAATATGAAAATGTTCATATGATTTATTTACAATACATTTTGTAAAGTAATATTTTAGTAGACAAGCAATTCCGTGCAAATGTCAACCTTACCATGAAAAAAATTAGGTTTTCACCAAAATACAGAAACTGTTTCTTGTTTTTTTGTGTAAGTATTTTATAGTACTTTAGAAATACTCAAAACTGCATCTGTCAATGTTTTTAAACTATTATATTTGATTTACCAAAGTCACACAAGTGGCAATTTCACATTCGTCACATCCATAACGAAGAGATGTCACATCCATAATGACACTTTTTCACCATAAATGAGAAAATATTCAATTAAATAAAACCAACTATTTTTGTTTTATATCCTTTTGATTATCATTGTTTTATTTGGGGTTGTGCAGTTTAATTCACAGAATTTCTACAAAGTATGTTGTCTACTGTAAACCCGCAGACTTTTTTTTGTCACATCCATAACACAGGTTTATTTTCCTCATTTAAAGTACAAAACATGTTTACAGACTAATATTTTTCTTGTCCTTTAACTCTGTGGTCAGCTGTTCTGGAAAAAATAAACAAAAGTTTTAATATAATGCTAACACATACTTTATATGTGAATTTACCATAACGCTGGAAATGCTCAGATATTATATATGAGAGACTTGTTTACCAATCAAGTGGATTCAATGATAAAAATTTAATAAAAGTTAAAAAGGTATCCATTTTTATTTCATATATTAGGTTTTTAGATACAAAATTGTACAAACGCCTTTTATTTATACACAAAAAAAGCAATAAAAGTCTGCAGATTCTGTCTGGTTCTACAAATGACCCAATACTGTACCAAGATTTCAACAAGTA